CCATATTTATACTTTATCCATCACTTTCTTCTCCTTCTCTCCTCCCCCTCCCTACCTACTTTCTTCCTTCTGTCATCCTTCTCTTCTTTACTTCCCCTTCCTCTCTCCTTCTCCTCTCTCCCCTTTCCACTCCTCTTTTCTCTTCTCCTCTCCTTCCCCCTCCCACCCTCTCTCCTGTCACTCAAATTGGAGGGGAGTTTGAGGAGATCATAGCAAAAAATTCCTTCTCAAGAACAGCTTCCACACCTGGGGCAGAAGGAAGGTCTAGCAAGTTTATTTACAATGAGTATTTTGACCCACATAGGGAATAACCATGTCCATTTTCCACAGTGCCTTCAGAGTAGAAATATGGAAAAATATAAGTGGCAAATCCTAGGTCAAGCCAAACTGCATTGGTTTATGTCCCAGGAGGAGAAAAAAAAAAGGATGCAGACGAAGTTGTCTAAAGGGAGAATATACTGACTCTGGTCTACTGGGCATAATCGTTATACAAATACTCCTCCACTTATGATCCCAATTGGGGATGGTATTTCCATCATAATTTGTTGTAATAGTAAATCAAATCATTACCACCTGTTGGTGGCAATGGCCCAGCAGGAGCTGTTGGAGCTGCCACCAGACTCCAACAGCGAGTGGCCCTATGAGTCGGCTCTGGAGGATGTGGAGGACTCTGGACAGGGTTTCGACTCCGTGCAAGGCACAGAGAGGCTGGTTGGCCACCAGGAGGCACCTGAGCCTTGGACCAGTGGGGAGGAGACAAGGGAGAGTGATCCGGATGCCAGTAGTGAGTTGTTCCTGGATGCCCGTCACCAAAGAGCTAATAGGCGTCAGGAACAGTTGCGCAAGTACAGGAGGTAATTGCACTCAGCTGGTGGTCATTAGGCTCCTCTCCAGACTATAAAAAGACTGCTTGTGCACACGTCCCTCTTGCAGAAGTCAACGCATTGACTAAAAGTTGGAGAACTTTTGTAACTATCTTGGCAGGCTGGATTGCTGCCAAGGTTTGTCTGAGTTGCTGCCAAGGTCCTTATTTGTTTGTTATGCTTGGCTTTCAGCCACCGAGGTTTTGGTTTCTTGCTATTAAAGTACATTCCAGTTAAGCTTGTCTTGGCATTCGTTACTGGACGAAGGAGGGGATCAGAACAACCATCAAACCCAATTTTAGGACCATTTTTACCATGTTCTTAAATCAAATCATGTGTTCATAAGTGTGAATCTAGATTAATCAATGACATTTTTTTGCCAGAAATCAGCAAAACGCATTGCAAACCACGACAATAGTTGTGTGACTATTGAGTGCTGCAAATGGAGGTAAATGTGAGCCAGCCGCCAAGCCCCCCAAACTGCAATCACATGACAACGGGGTGGGGGACATCAGTTATTTAATTCATTAACTAACTAATTAATTAATTAAGTTTGAATTTAGGTGGTAACTGATGTTTTGGGAGGGTGTTAATTTGAACCATTGTGAAGCAAACAGTGATAAGTTGAGGCCTAACTGCATAGCTGTTACCTTTTCCTAAATGCTGCTAAAGGTTTATGCCTTTCAGGTATGAGGGGCCCTTGGTGCTTCCTGAGCTTGCTTGTTTTTTTGCAGATATCTCATTATCCAAACTTCATCAGTGCTAGCACCTAGTTTGGGTAATGAAATCTCTGCAAGAAAACAAGTGAACTCAGAGAGCACCAGGGACCCCTCATTTCAATCCTGAACTACAAATATTCTTCTTTATTGGTGTCTCTCAGGTAGTCTGCAATGCCATGAGAATGGCAACATTTCCTATATCTACCATCCTGATTGAAGGTGCCTCTATGATCATTTATGCTCCAATATTGCAGATAGTAAGGACCCGTAGCTAACATTATGGCCAGTTCTGGCCATATGGCCAGAGAACCTCCAATCCCACCCCTGGCTGGGCCATTTCCGACCTCCAGGGAGCCTCTGGAGCCCGGGGGAGGCAGTTTTCGCCATCCCAGAGACTCAGGGAAAGCCTCCAGAGCCTAGGAAAGGCAAAGACCCCACCCCACCATGGTGCAGAAAGCTGACTAGGCTACGCCCACCATGTTCACACCCACCCAGCAACCGAGCAGAGACCTGTTGCTGAAGTTTTTGAAGCCCACCCCTGGAGATGTTGTACATTTCAAGGGGGGGGGGGAAGTAGGGATGTTTTGTTTGTTTTCTTTTTCAGTTCTGATGGTCAAAGAATAATTTTTGTTTGGTTTCATTTTGACCATTTCACAGGAAAGGGAAATGCCTGGTTTCTAGCCCCACCGAGAGATATCCTGGTTGACACAGGATAAGAGGAAATAAATTACTGTGACCCCAAAGTAATGTGAGCTCTGTAACAAGAATAGGGGTGCAAGAAAAACAAGCTATGTATAACACAAGTTCCTAAGCTTCTAGGCTTTGTACAAGTAATCAGGAAACATAAAGCTATTTTTGGGTGTGTGTGAAAACATATTTTTCGTTGGTTGCTTAATGAAGTGCTCACAGAAATGGCCCTACTTATCATTCTAATAGAATTGACCGAATGAGGAGCAAAGTCAATATTGGATGATTTTGTTTATGAATGTTGGTGTTACTTGTTTGCTCATGAAGCTATGCTAGCATTTGGTGGCACAGTTGGGTTTCTGACGATTCACCCTGGTTCAGGCGAATCGGTACTGGTGGTGGCAGGAGGCTCCAACCACCCGCCCAGACGCTTCTGTGCATGTAAGTACAAGCAAACTGGTAGTAAAATAAGTTGAAACCCACCACTGATTTGGGGGCAAAGATATGCATAGTTCATACAGTAAGAGGACAAACATTTTTTCAAACAATGGCAGTTGCCACCATTTGCAGGTATCCAACACCATGTTCCCATTTCTTTGCCAAAAAAATATAACCGGAATCCAAGCAAATTCACTTCCTTCCTCATTTAAGGTGACTTTTACTTCTCTGTAAAACCAGATAATTTCATCATTGTGTAGGTGAATCTGGGATAGGATTCATATTTCGTAAGTGGCCTAAGGACTGAGAAAGCTGCAGAGTTAGAATGGACAGAAAACATCTCCAGAAAGCTGTGGACAACTACACAAATTGGCATATACCTGAAATTTACGTTCAAGGATTCGACGAATTAAGCAGCTACGAACCATGAATTTCACTGCCTATCACAAGATAGATATCAGGGCTATTTAGTCTCTCTTTTACCATTTTTGATAACCCTGTAGTTAATTAAGTACAGATTCACCTTCCACTGATTCATGGAGACTATACAAACTTCACTATTGCAAAACTCGCATCCTGTAGTATCTCAAATCCATACCGCTCATATTTTTGCCTTTCAAGGGTCTCAACAATGCAGATATGCTTGGAAAGGGAGAAACTCCGATCCTACCATCCCTTGCCATCACTCCCGTGATTATATCTTCTTCTTGGCCCACTGTATTTCCTCTGATAGAATTTGGAAGGATCCAGCTAAGGTGCAATCTATTTTGTCTTGGGAAGGAAACCTCCCGATACAATAAGGCATATTACAGCATTTGGCTTTGCCAATTTTTACTGACAATTAATTGCTAACTTTGCAGTGCCCTGGGTTGCAGTAATTATAGGGGTTTCTTTAAAAAGACTTTCATCGCCTCAAACAGGCACACACACTCACTTTTTAATTCATCGTCCATCCTTCTGATCTTATTCATCTTTTTGCTATGCTTTGAATTTCATTTGAGGGGCTGTATTTTTACAATCTATTCCAGAGCTTTCTGAAACTCCCTCCCTGGACATTATTTTTTAGCAGCTGTTACCAGCCAAGTGATTTGGGCCATCAAAGAAACCTTTCAGAATTGATGCAGCCTTCTGGAGAGCATACATTACCCATCAGTCTTGCAAATTACAGCAATCCAGACAAGAAGCACATTCAGAAGTATTAGTTGTACTTTATTTTAAAATTACATTAACAAAGTCCCATGTCACCTTTCTTCTTCTTCTTCTTCTTCTTCTTCTTCTTCTTCTTCTTCTTCTTCTTCTTCTTCTTCTTCTTCTTCTTCTTCTTCTTCTTCTTCTTCAGCCATATCCGTCATCGGACAATGGCGATCATGTTGGCAATCCTATTTTTATCAACAGCCGCACGAAAAAGTTCCTGTGCATGCATGGCAGAGACTTGAAGCAGGAGGCACACGCACCAGGGGTGGGCTCCTCTTGTGGTTGTGCTGCATGCTTGATGCGCGCTTTGCATGCTTGATGCACAGTACAATAAAAATTGTTTTGTGCATGCGCAGAAGCAAAAAACAAGATAGTGGCACCTACACCGCCGCCCGGAGAACCGGTGGGTTTCATCTTGTGTGACATCATTTCAGATACATCCTTTCAGGATGGAACCAGATACTATGTGGTTCTGGCTACTTAATGCAATGCCTACTTAATACAATGAGATTTACTTTTAAAGAAACGAGATTTATGAGATCAGACATACAATTATTACTGTACAAACCAGGTGTTGGTTCAAGCTTTAAAAACCAATCAATAAAGGATCACCAGAAGATGGATCACTGAACAAATTCTGTCTACATTTAACCAAAACATAAATACATTTCTCCCACCTCTGGAAATGTTCTCATCAAGTATTTAGAGCTTCAACCAAGGGCAAATGGTTTGCTGACTGACTTCCATTTAAGACAGATTTGTGGGTGAGACTGTGTCACAGCTACTTTCCCAAACTAATGTCCAGAATGTTATCTCCTGTCAGTGACACTTGGTCATCTGTCCTTGAAACTCTGCTGTCAACAACAGCAGAAACTGGGGAGGGGGAAGTTGGTGGCTGAGAGTAGATAGAGTGAAATAAGACAGGATGCCAGTTAGGAAGTGTTAACTGGGCTTGCTGTAAGCATTTTCCACAATCCATTGCCTTTGGGGTAGCTTTTCCTGTCCAATATCAGGTTTCATGTGGTCTCTATTCTTTGCTCACTGCAGGAGAAGAAAAGGGATGTGTGGCTTGAATCGCACTATCTATTGATGTGGAAGAACCGAGCAAAACAGCATCTTGGAATGATCTATTAATGCATTGTTAGAGTCCGTTGACAGCCATTTCTTCTTCATCATGAGGAAGCAATTGCCACTTGCAATACTCCTATCATTTGTGATGACAAATGCCATCAGTCTTTTGGAAAGTACTCAGCAGGTAAGAAGTATTTTATATTGTGGCGATGGCAGAAGCTTATGTGTAAATTCATACATTCTACCCCAAGTAGTCATACAGCAAAGACTTTGGGGTGAATTTTGAGCATGATTCAAAAGTTCAAGCTTGGGATCTCTGGTTGATAAATCAGAAATAAATTATTTAAATCAGTATTTATATTACCATTTCTGCAAACATACTGGCAGTTTAGTTAATTTATAATTTAGTTATTCCTTGGGAATAAGTATTCTTAAACAGAATTTACTTCAAATAAAGATGCAAAGGTTGGGCTGTAAACCAAGTTGGATGAGACTGGTTTATGATGTTTTTAGAGAAGTTTGATGCTCAAGAAATTTCTCCTACTGAGATTTGGAGAACTTTTATCTGAGAAAAAAAATGAATTCAATGCAAAAAGCTATTTCCTTTCTCAAGCAAATATTTATTTATTTATTTTATCCCCAGAAATTATATCCTGATCTTATGCCTATCCCAAATTAAAAAATTTAAAAACTAACAGAAAAATTACAAGAAAAAATCAGAAACAGATAAAAAATATTTTCGGTCACTTGACAAAACCTGTGTCTTAGCAAGAAGTTCAGTCTGAAGACCTAAGTGGCCTCTTTTAGTTCTATGATTTAAGGAAGGATGTTGTTATATAACAAAATTGTTGCCCCATTTAAGTGTGGCTCAAAGAAAGGAAATAACTTCTGGTAACTTTGTCAGGAAAAGTAGTTTCCCCTATTTAAGGAACATTAATCTTTTTCAGTGGCACGTGAAAAGGTACTTGGGCTCAAACTCAATTGCCATAATGTCCTATTCTAGGGTCTCACCTTGAAGACTGTGAAAATTCCAGTTTATGCAAAACACAAATGAGAACTTGATTTAAGGACTATAATTGTATGATCTGTGGCTGTATTTCTTGGACCAATGCAACATGGCAGTATTAAACTTTAAACCCTAGCTAATTTGAAATTGTGAAATTCATTTGTGTGTTTCTTTAGGCTATTATCATACTCAGCATCAGAGTAGAACTGATTAAAAAGAATGCAGACAGGATCTTTTTTTGAAGTGGTTCAACCTTTCTGGAACAGTTTTCCCCAGAAAAGGCATATGGGCTCTTCTATGCCTCTACTGGTGCATCCATAACAAAAATACAAGACAACATAAATAGCAATAGAGAATAATCCTTGTGCAAGTAATTGGGAAAAAGTAGTACATTTCTATATATGTGGCGTGATTGTGGTTATGTTTAGGAGTCTGACAGCCCATGGGTAAAAGCTGTTTTTAAACCTGTTTCAGAGATGGGTTCCTACCAGTTCGCACCGGTTCGGTACAACCGGTTTGTCAAATCTACCGAACTGGTTAGAAGAGGTTCCACCAGTGGACCCAGAAAGCAGGCTACACCTATGGAAGAGGTTCCAAAAAAATTTGAAACCCACCACTGACCTGTTTGTACAGCTGGCTATACTTCGGTGTCTTCTGCCCAATGGTAAAAGTGAAAAGAGACACTGGCCAGGGTGTAAATGGAAGCTTTCTTTACTCCATCCCATACTGGAGCAATGTTATAGACTGTTGCTGCTCTACTATTTTATTTTATTCAGTATTCCTTGTTGTCCTTGAAGTCATCTATAAAATAAAATAGAGCATTGGTGTATCAAACTGCTATTAAAAGCATCGTTATGCTCTATCAAAAAATGTTTCCTTAATTTCTCTCTCTCTCTCTCTCTCTCTCTCTCTCTCTCTCTCTTTCTTACTGTCCTTTAAGGAAAGACAGAGATGTGATGAGGATACAGTGTTTACCACAAAAACTAAATGTGGAGCTTGTTCTGTTAATTATAAAATCCGGTGTCCTGAAGGTTATAGCAAAATGACCAAAGGCTCTGGGAAACGCGGCTGCAGGTAATGCTTAAATTAATCACTGACAGATATTTTCTACTCTGAAAGTTAATTACTTAAAGGGCTATTTTTTGTGGGGGTCAGGTTAAGCTCTGTTTTTTACAGTATTCCTATGGATATATTTGGCAGGATATATTCTATTGACTCCTCTCCCTTACACACATACTGAACATAAGCACAAACCTGCAGATCCTATATTTCTATATTCACGTTTTTGTCTGAAGCATACGGTGAATATATGTGGAGGTGAAGATGGTGGGATGTATCTGGACATTTCTTCTATAGAGAATTCTTCCAAAGAATTCCTCTGGGCATTCAGGAACTCCCATATTTCTAAGCCTCCTAAACACAGAGAGTGGAATTCTACCACACTTGCAACTGTGAGCAGAAATGGGGTGAGAGCTTTTTCAAACTATGCATTGCTATCGAATCCTAAACAGTTGCACTCTTCTGGTGCTCGTAGCAAAATACTTCCAAACTATTTGAAAGAAAATGAAGAACTGATAATTTGGGTAGCCTGTGGAAGCATCAAGATCTGCATAATGATTTATTGATGCTAATTGAGAGACTAAGCTACAACTGAAAACATTAGTCATGTTCATTAACTGAAAATAGTCCTTGGGAAAATCCCATAAAGAAGTCTGATATACTAAATCATAATTAACTCTCCATCCCATTGTAGGGAAGGATTAAAAGAAAGTGGGTTAGATCTAGATATCTGTGCTAATAAGTGAAGCAACAAAGAGTCTGCTATTCTAAAATTTTTTTAATGTTATGCTACATGTTATGCTACATGTGTAAGTGTGAAAGAAACCAAAAAGAAGGATTGAAGAGAAATCAAATCCTATAATAAATAAATGGAAGTTCAAGTAAGTCTCTCTCTCTCTCTCTCTCTCTCTCTCTCTCTCTCTCTCTCTCTCTCTCTCTC